TTTGTAACTTATGAAGGTTTTGTAATAATAACTTTTGTTGCAGATAATGTAATCTAACTATGCGCTTAAAACTATGTGCCAACAGTCCATTTAAAGGCGAAAAATAAAGTAAAGAAGTTGGAGGATAAAGAGGAAGAGGAGGAGAAGAAGAACAAGAGCAAGAACAAGCAGGATAAGGAGGAGGAGGGAAAACAAAGAGAACAAATTGAAGACAATGGGGGTTAAAACAAAAGGAAGGAAGAAACTGAAGCAGGTAGAACAATCATGGAAACAATCAGTAGAGATACTTCAGAGTAGCTGCTGCATCAGAGGATCGAGCAAGAATGGGGATGCCCAATGTGCAAAGACGTTGATTTTGATAACATAACACAACAACATAACATAAGCGGGTAGAAAAATAAAATAGTAGTAAAAGCAGAAACAGACAATCAACCAAAAGAAAAAAGACGAAGAACCCCAGACTTACAGGTCCGCAGGCATGAGTCTTGCCAGCTCGTTACTCTGGCTCCACACAGGAAACATGTGTATAATACGGTCACTGAAAACACAAATCAACGGAATCAGGGGTGAACACTATTTGCTCAATACATTACGAGCTGTACTCAGTAAATGAATCAATCTTCCATTCAATTCCTATGACAGGATATGCTCTACAACCGCTTAAAAGCAGACGGCTAAATCGATAGTGAACGAACAGGCTGGGGGGAAAAAAAGGAAACATGTGTAGAAAGAGTGATCAAAATTAAGAGCAGGGAAAGAGCACAAAGAGTGTTTGAGACAATGCTCAAATTAACAACGTAGACAGCACTGCTGAAAACGACATTTGATTTGCCCAGGCTAATGACAGAGACCAGTTTGTATTTGTGTAGAAGATGGCGCCTGTGTTTTCAATGAAATTCGCGTTATTCAAATGAGTGAAAAGTAATCGAATTCACGGGTCACAGCGTGCGATTTTATAAACTTTAAATCTAATTTTTGTCAAATGTAAAGGTCAGTTAGGTCTTAAATTTCGTATAGTATTGTTGTTTTATTGTTGTTACATGTATTTTTTTTTTTTTTCGAACGTGGGCAGTTTTAAGAAACTGCACAGGAAAGCAAATAACAAAACCGTTTGCGTGCTATTCGATCATCGAGAGCATAGGGCAATCACTGCTGCCTTCCGCTGGCTTGAGAATCAGCACAAAACACATGTACTCACGAAGTATGGACAAACCGAAGACAGGCATGCTCCGTGCAGAGTGGCAAGCATCGCTTCAGAGGTCCCTGGTAGTTAGTGTCGTTTGGATAATTTCTCCAGGTTATGCTAGTGTGTTGGGAAACGGGCAGGAAGATAGATAGAGTGGCAGGTTCTGCACCACTTGGTGGTGAAGTGGTGCAATTATTTATGACAAACACACAGACAGTAAGATGTACGGACAGACGGGCAAACGGATAGTAGGCAGACAGACTAATAGACAGACAGATAGGCAGACAAACAGATAGACAGACATTCAGACGGACGGACGGATAGATAGACTGACTGACTGACAGACGGGCGGGCGGGCTAACGGACAGACAGACAGACAGACAGACAGACAGACAGACAGACAGACAGACAGACAGACAGATAGATAGATAGATAGATAGATAGATAGATAGATAGATAGATAGACAGACAGACAGACAGACAGACAGACAGACAGACAGACAGACAGACAGACAGACAGACAGACAGACAGACAGACAGACAGACAGACAGACAGACAGACAGACAGACAGACAGACAGACAGACAGACAGACAGACAGACAGACAGACAGACAGACAGACAGACAGACAGACAGACAGACAGACAGACAGACAGACAGACAGACAGACAGACAGACAGACAGACAGACAGACAGACAGACAGACAGACAGACAGACAGACAGACAGATAGACAGATAGATAGATAGATAGACAGATAGATAGATAGATAGATAGATAGATAGATAGATAGACAGACAGATAGACAGATAGATAGATAGATAGATAGATAGATAGATAGATAGATAGATAGATAGATATAGATAGATAGATAGATAGATAGATAGATAGATAGATAGATAGATAGATAGATAGATAGATAGATAGATAGATAGATAGATAGATAGATAGATAGATAGATAGATAGATAGATAGATAGATAGATAGATAGATAGATAGATAGATAGATAGATAGATAGATAGATAGATAGATAGATAGATAGATAGATAGATAGATAGATAGATAGATAGATAGATAGATAGATAGATAGATAGATAGATAGATAGATAGATAGATAGATAGATAGATAGATAGATAGATAGATAGATAGATAGATAGATAGATAGATAGATAGATAGATAGATAGATAGATAGATAGATAGATAGATAGATAGATAGATAGATAGATAGGGCGAGAGGGGGGAGGGAGAGAGATGTCAACATACAAATATAATCAATTATACACGTTAACAAGTAAAAATTTACCATTATGGCATCTTCTTCTCCAGATCTAAACAAGCAAAGGAACACCGTAACAACATCAGTCTCAGACTCCAACACCCAACCATGAGTGACTCTTCAACAGCCCTCAAGTTAGGCACTGCTCTGCTCGTATTTTGCCTCATTACAGAAATAGCGGCTCTCTATAGGTATAGTTACCACAGTTATCAATGTCGTCGTCTCCCTCGTCATCATGAGCATCATTACGGCCATCTTCTTTACTATCAATGTCATCATTATTATTATTATCATCATTAGAATCATGATCATCGTGGCCTTTACCATCATCAACTTTATCGTGATAGTCTTCTTCTTCTTCTTCTTCTTCTTCTTCGATCCTTCTGTCAGAAAACGTATATCAGGAGGCCGGTAGCCTTTATGAAAGCTATCGTGCAATCCATATCCTCTCGTGTACCATACAGTTTTGTCTTCAGTGTGGTTGGAACAGGCCAGATTGCGTCTCTGTTGTCAGCATACAGTTGACAATGTTGGAGCACATGCTCAGCATTTTCGGGTGCCACGCTGCAGGGACACGTCTCCGTATTTCCTACACCAAAAAGATTTGAACATATGTTGACGAAATCTGTTGTGCCCTGTCCTTAGTCTGAATATAATTCACTGTTTCTCTCTAGAGAGGCGATGAATTGAGTCTTGGGGAGAAAATCTGGTGTGGGTATCCAGCCACCTTTCTTGGATACTAGCTTGTATTAGTGTTTTCATCTCTTGGTGGGTTAAGTCGCTATTTGGTTGTACCATGTCACTGCCGCTTCTGGCCAATCTGTCCGCTATTTCATTGCCTTCCAAGCCACAGTGACCTGGAATCCACTGCAGTACAGATTGTTCTACTGAAGAGCCTAAGCAAATCAGCTGTTGCGTCAAGTCTACAAACTGAGTGTCTTTTGGGTTAACAATTGCTTGCAGAACTGACATAGCATCAGTCAGAAAGACCACTCTGCTATATTTGCTGTGCTGTTGTCCATTCAGGAAAGAACATGCCGCTAGAAGTGCTTCTGCCTCTGCTCTATAATTGGAGGAATATGAACCTGTTGGTACAGCATGGTTGATTTTTAAACCATTTGGGCATTCTATGTATATTCCTCCTCCTCCGTCTCTTACTGCTCTCTTGGCTGAGCCATCTGTATACACTCGAATCCAATTCTGGTGTGGATAAAGTCTATTGATCTCTCCTTCTGTAGTTGATTTCATATCAGTGCTGCTCATTTATGATTAGGAGGAGACCCCTGTTACAGTGGTTCTGACTGTTGGTAGGCTATCCCTAAGCCAAGCGGGGCAGTCGTTGTAAGGTTTAAGTGGAACATTTGGTATTATGGGAGGGAGTTTAAGGACATCGAGCTTGGCATTTGCGTTCTTGATAAAACAGGTTCTCTTTAGTCTAGCCTTCTGGGGTTTCTGCAGTCGGCTGTACATGGGTTGTTCTTGAAAGTGGTGGTATTTGGAGAGCTGGGTGAGGAGCTTTGTGTCTCTCCTATCTTCCAGATTAAGGAGACCAGTAATTGTTTCCATATCTGATATGGGCGGGGAGCGCATTGCCCCTGTCATAATACGGAGCGCATGGTTTCGGATCTTTGAGACTTTCTGAAAATTGGATTGTCGTCATCATCATTATCATTAGTATTATAAAAAAAAATCACTATCATCGTCGTCACAATTACTCTCACAATCGTCATCATCATCGCCACTATCCTCAGCATTATCCTCACATATACGAGAACGGCGCGCTAGCTAAGTTGATTAAACCAGCTGCGTGGCTACCGGGTGACAAACTCCTGGCTGTCCGAGTTTATGCTCAGGGGTAGGCAGAAAAGCAACATATTTTCAAGATTTACGGTATCTATCATGGCATCAAGGTCGAAGGGTTGCGATGTCCATAATACTGAGATCAAAGGGTTAGCAACTCATGGTCTGTGGATCAAAATATATATATATCCTCTTGAGGTTTGTGGTTTTTCTTGGGTATTATGTTTGCATCATATAGGTTGTTGAGTATATTGTGTTCCTTTCTCAATTGTTTTTTAATTTTCACATTTTCCTTTCCTCTCGTCTTTTAAATAATTCCTCTTACAGTGCTTGCTGTTTGGCGTCAGTAATCTTATTTTGTCAACAGCCTTCAATCTAATGTACTTTCAATCAGTTCTGGACACATAGTTCTTTCATGTCACTAGGGCAAACTGCCCAGTTGACAGCATACAGACTTACTTACCAGCCTATTCATCGACCCAACAACGCATTGACTAACATACATGTGAACAGACAGAGAGGCCGACATACAGACAGACGGACGGACAGACAGAGAAGTATTATACAGTCGAAAAGATAGTTAGACAGGCAGAAACACAATGATATATTCAAACAAGCAAATTCTAAACAATTTATTGAACAGGTTATTTATTGATGGGCGTTTTTTTTTTTAAAAATCATAAGCAGTCAATTACATATTACAGTAACAAACTGAATAAACATGTTTAATTTGTTTCGTAATGTTATTTTAGTAATGCACCTTGTAAGATGTTTGCCAGTTCTTCTTTATGGAGCGGAATGCTGGAGAATGACCAAAAAGGATGCACACAAGCTGTCCACCTTCCACCACACATGTCTAAGAAGAATTATCAAAATTTTCTGGCCAGATACAATCTCAAACACTAAACTACTTCAAGTCCCAAACCAAGAAACTTTAGACAGTATGATTACCAAGAGAAGATGGAAATGAATTCTTTTATACCTGCCAAAACAGCTCTCACATGGACACCAGAGGGAAAACGAAAACAGTTGCGCCTAAAAACAACATGGACGCGAACGATGGAAAGTGACCTGAATGCGGCATCTTTGACATGGAAAATTGCACTGAAGTTTGCACAGGACAGGAGGAAATCATGGAAAGTCCTCTCTGAAGCCTCATGTGCCACTAGGCATAACGAGAACTGATGATGCACTTTGTAAGATCAAGCAAAATTGTCCACGCAATAAACTGTGCAATCTTTTGTGTGTGTGTGTGTGTGTGTGTGTGTGTGTGTGTGTGTGTGTGTGTGTGTGTGTGTGTGTATTAACTTTGTATAAATGTGCATTGTGAAAACATGAAACATTGCTTCGGGTTCACCAGCTTTAAAATCCCTGGTAAAGTTCTGATTGTTCGTCCATTTATGGAGTTAAGTCTTTTTTTCAGAACTTAAGTTTCTCTTTCACATATGTTTTACAAACTTACCTTATTTGTCAGTAGTCTGTTTATGCCTCGCCTCTCAGGCAGGTGCATTCTGACTGCGAAGAAAACATCCTAATTAGTCGACTTTTTTTTCTTCTGTCATCCTCCAGTGGAGCACAGGCCCGCATACAACAACCACGCCAGGTCATTCTATCCTTCTCTAATGCTAAGTTAGTTAGTATTCCCCTTTTTTTTAACCACACTCTCGCTCCCTTTCCCATATGTTTCTTGGTTTGCCTTCATATCTATATCCCTGTGGTTGCCAGTGCAAAGACATTCTAGCTATGCTTTTCTTATAATTCCTCAGTGGGTGTCCTATCTTCCCCTCTTGGTCCAGTGTTTAGTTTTCTCCTATGGCTCAACATCAGTGATTCTGTCACACCATTTAATAATGGACTTTTACAACAAGCTCTTACAGGAGGGAAGTTGGTCTATTGCTTTGATTGTTGACTGACTTTCTACCCCACCAGAACATCACACAAGCGATAAACACCCGATGACACAATGTGCCACCATGTGGGTGAGGATCACCGTGGAGAGGTCCCAGAAACCGCGTTTAGCCTTTAGGCCATATTTATGGCCAGGCTATATTGCGGTCCCTGGCATAAGCCAGAGTAGGGCTCCAAAGATTAAAAAAAAAACTTCATTTTATGCCAAACCATCACCCAAAATATTCCAGAAAATTGCCAAATAATGTGTAACATTGCACTCACTTCACATAAAAAGCTCTAGATTGAATTCTTCACTATCATCCTCACTGGAACCAGTGGAAGATGTAGCATAAACCTTTTCGGATGTAAAATCTTGAAACATTTTCTCAGATGGAATGAAGTCTTTGCAACGTTTCTTGATATCAATAGTTCTGCTCTAATTCTGACAACTGCATCAAGAAAATCCAGTTGTATTTTGTTTCTTGCTTTTGATTTAGTTGAAGTAACAAGAGAGAATATTCTCTCAACTACAGCATTGCTAACGGGCATTATTAAGTAAGTAAGGGCGAAAGTGGCCAACTCTTTAAATGCCTGGTGTTGAAGTACGCCTATCCAAAAATCGGCCGTTTGTAGGTAGTCCATCCTTCTTAAATGTAGCTTCTTCTTTCCAGTTGACAACAGACAGTTTTCTGTACTGTTCTTCTATGCTACTGATGTTGTTTTCTGCCAGGTGTAAAAATTGTAGCTCTGAAAACTGTGTCCTTGATATTTGATTTAAAACTGCCAAAGGGCTCCATTTGTTACAGATTTTGAAAAATATTCTCTGTGGGAAGTCTACACGTAATTTAATTGAGAGCTTCCAGTAGCACAGATATACATCTTTCTTTAACATTGTTTATTTCTATCTGAGCTTCAGTCCCGTGTTTCTTCTGTAGGAACGCATTACATTCCTTTATGAATTTTTTATACCAAAGTCAAAGTGATGAAATTTTTTTCTGCTCAATGACGTCATACAGTCTTTTCTTAAGACTTTTCTGGTAAAATAAAGTAAAAGTAAAGATCCCTTTTCACGCCTTTAGGTGCATCGGGCATATGGGAAAAGCACCCATTTTTTTACAGACCAATCGGCACTCGGTGGGTAATGTGGTCAGCATTACGCCGGCCGTCTTTACTTCCACAGGAAAGCCACCCTAGTACCCATTTGAGGCTGGGTCGACCTGCGACGTCCCCATACCACGATAAAAATCAACGCAGCCCGCAGAAGACTTTTCTGTTGCATGGACAATTCTTGGTGTAGTTCATGAGGATCAGCTTTTGTTTGTTGAAAAGACTGGTTCAATCTTTCAAATTCTTGTACAATTGGTGTCGCAAACACAAAGTACAAATAATTATAGTGTTCTAACAGCATTTCCTTGAACAATCTTACTTTATATTTGTGTCAAACGTTGTCTGTGCTAATTCAGCACATGTGAAATAAGCTTTCAATTCTTCCCAGTTCACCAACATACTGAACATAATCTTTCCACGCACAAGCCAGTAGATGACAGTTTCTCAAATGGAAGAGGAGCAGTTCGTTCTGATTCAAACTCTGTAGATGTGTTCATCACTCTAAACAGTTCTTTATAGGCTTCTCATCTTAAATGACTATGGCGAAACCACTGTGGTATTTCTGACAGTAAGAAACCAATATTTGATGGCAGCTTGGCAATTACACTACAAATGCAGAGTGCTAGTGAATGGCAGATACATCTGAGCTGTTCACAAATAGGAGACACATCTTTAATTCTGGACCATACAGAGTTCTTGCACCCGACCATGTTTGAAACGGCATCTGACGCAAACCCAACGCAATTTGTAAGACTCTGACCACACCTTTTGATTTCCTTATCAATCAAATTAAATAAGTTTTCTCCTGTAGCCACTTGCAAGAGAATTAAAGTAAAAAATCCAGTAAATATTTCATTTTTCCTGTGACTGAAAAAACTAACTATAATGCAAAAGTACTTTTGAGTGGAAACGTCAGTAGACTCATCTATAATGATGGCATATTTCTTGTTCAGAAAATCATCAGTAAGGTCATCCTTAAGTGCAGGCGATATAATATTTTTTATTAAGCATAAACATTTAGTTCTTTGCAACTGTATGTGCTCCACTGTACTCCCCTGACCATGCGCTCTCACGATTTCACTTAAATGGTCAATTGTGCGTATTGCACAATGGCAGGTCATTCTTACAGCAAGTTGCAACTCTGGCCCTTAAATTAGATGTTACGGCCCTTTGGATGTAATCAATATCGTCAAAAAAGCGTCCTTTCAATTGTAACTTTAATTTTCGGAATAGAAAATAATCAAAGGGAGACAAATCTAGGGAATAGGATGAAAAGCTGAAAACACACACGTGTTTTGGGGCCAACAATTCTTGTTTTGATGATTTTTCTTGGGTTCTCAACCCCCTGATGAGTTTGATCACCAGACAACAAATGTGGCACAAACCGGCAAGCAACTTTTTTCTTGCAAAAAGCTTGCACTGAAATGTTATGAATGGTCTCTCTGTTAACACCAGACAAATCCTCCATCATCCCCACAGTAAAACAATGATCTTCTTATATCTGTTCTCTGATTTTTGCAATGAGTTTATCATTACGAACAGAAATTTTATGTCTAGGTGCATTAGTAATCATTTCCACACCACTTTTGAATCGTGAATACCACCTGAAAATTTGTGCCGAGATAAATAATTATCCCCATGAACTTGTTGCATTAATTCAACTGTTTCAATGGCGCTTTTTCTGAGTTTTAAAAAGTTTTTAATATTAGCCCCGTGCTGATTACGTAACAATGCACCTCAGACTTGGTCAACAAAATGGCGGCTCATTTGGTGTCTGCTTACAAAGCGGAGATGAAAAGTTGCCAGATCATTGATAAATGTTGTCTTTTTAGATTCCATGCTTTGCTTCATATACGGCATTTTTGTCTTGGCCATAATAAAATGAGTCTCATTACTTAATTGTCTGACCTTGTACGTGCACTAAATAAGCCTGTTTACGCCAATAGGCATAGGACGTTACACTGACATTTAAACAAACAAAAAACCACTTGGCTCTGTGTCAGTGATATAGTCAACATTCCAATGACTGCCTTTACCTACCATGACATTACCTAGAACCAGTTTTACTAGGTGGACATGAGCCAAGATCAATTTTGAAAATGTCTGCCTTCATGCCGATTCGAACTCAAGACTTTCAGACCGATAGGAAAGCGTGCAGCTACTGTGCTAGAGCAGACTTCTATAGGTTTTATTATACAATATTGATTGTATTGTTATGCCCTAATTCAACATCTTTCAAAAATTGATTTCTACTGTTGCATATACCAGTTGTTATGCGCATTTCATTTCAGACAAAAACGTGGTTTTAGACAGGATGCGGCGACGAGGGTTGCTCACGGATTTGGTAAACGAGCAAGCTTACTCCCGAATGATCAGTTAGAAACCCTTTCCAATTTTCTCGAGGACACCAGTGATGTGGGGTAGGTTTCCATAACCATAATATGACCTTGTAGCAATCTCCAGTACTGATAATTCTTTTTTTTTTACGAGTAATTATCGTTTTCCACATTCTTGTTTACTACTAGTACAATAACAACAACAACAGCTACTACTACTACTGCTACTACTACAACTACTACTACTACTACTACTACTACTACTACTACTACTACTACTACTACTACTACTACTACTACTACTACTACTACTGCTACTACTATTACCACTACTACTACTACAACAACAACAACTACTACTACTACTACTACTACTACTACTACTACTACTACTACTACTACTACTACTACTACTACTACTACTACTACTACCACCACTACTGCTACTACTACTACCACCACCACTACTACTACTACTACTACTACCTCTACTACTACTACTACTACTACTACTACTACCACCACCACCACCACTACTACTACAACTACCACTACCACTACTACTACTACTACTACTACTACTACTACTACTACTACTACTGTTGTTGGAACTTTTCCGTCTTTCCAGACGATAGTGATATACTGTAATGTGCTTTATGAATACATAAGAATGACAGCATATGGCGATGGCAAGTGTGACTTGCAAGACCCGCCAGTGTAAGAATGACAGTATATGGCGATGGCAAGTGTGATCTGCAAGACCTGCCAGTGTAAGAATGACAGTATATGGCGATGGCAAGTGTGATTTGCAAGACCCGCCAGTGTAAGAATGACAGCACATGGCGATGGCAAGTGTGACTAGCAAGACACGCCAGTGTAAAAATGACAGCATATGGCGATGGCAAGTGTGACTAGCAAGACCCGTCAGTTTAAGAATGACAGCATATAGCGATGGCAAGTGTGACTAGCAGGGCCCGCCAGTGTAAAAATGACAGCATATGGCGATGGCAAGTGTGACTAGCGAGACCCGCCAGTTTAAGAATGACAGCATATGGCGATGGGAAGTGTGACTAGTAAGACCCGCCAGTGTTATGAACAGTCTTCCACAATTAGGATTCCAGGACCATTATTGCCATCATATGGTTTGCTTCTTCTAAGACACTGAGCTCTCAACCTTTCTGCAATAATTTTTGTTTTAAAATTCCCATTCCCATTCTGATTTTTGACGTCCGCGCTACACGGTCTGTAGCATTTTGTTCCCAAGAATCTATATCAGTACCTGTATCATTCATGCCCCGCTTGCACACATATATCGTAGTAGAGCAGTGGCTCTTAACCCTCCTAACGCCGCGACCCCTTAATACAGTTCCTTTATGTTGTGGCGACCCCAAACAATTATTTTCCTTTATAACTGCAATAAATATGTGTTATCTGATGGTCTTAGGCGACCTTTGAGAAAGGGTCGCCCGATCCAACAAAGGGTCGCAACCCGTAGGTTGAGAACCGTACTGTATTTTAGGCTGACCGCGATATTTTTTACCCATCTGTAATTCAGCATAGAGGATATCCTTAGGCACTCTACAGTTCTTCATTCATACAAGTGTTGCCCAGCAACCTCCAACTCCGAATACTGAACTACTATTTTCCACGCCTTCTGGCGCATTGTGTTTAGGGCTAGACCTATATTTTATAGACCAGTTGTCACTCAGTGAGGGATGTAGTCAACATCCCAAGGGAACTGTTATAATAAGAATATTTTGTTACCACTACTACTAATTCTACTACAACTACTAAAACTATTATTGATGACCATTAGTAAGTCAGTCAGTCAGTCAGTCAGTCAGTCAGTCAGTCAGTCAGTCAGTCAGTCAGTCAGTTAGTCAGTTAGTTAGTTAGTTAGTTAGTTAGTTAGTTAGTTAGTTAGTTAGTTAGTTAGTTAGTTAGTTAGTTAGTTAGTTAGTTAGTTAGTTAGTTAGTTAGTTAGTTAGTTAGTTAGTTAGTTAGTTAGTTAGTTAGTTAGTTAGTTAGTTAGTTAGTTAGTTAGTTGACAAATTGTCCTCATTGCACATGGAAACATTCAGTCCATAAGTGCTCGGGTCTTTAGTAAATCCAGTAGATTGTAGCGGCTCACGACAACTGTTCTGCTTTGCTTTCTTATTATTCTTTGGCTTCCTGCATAATGCTCTTGTCTGGCCACACCCCTTCTAACATGTTGTTCTTGCAGTCTGCAGATTCACAACCATCAATTGGTTCTCACAAACGTCTTACTTCTCGTAGAGAATTTGAAATTTCAGCATAATAATGATGATCAAGATCACGATAAATAAAATAATGCGTTTTTTTTTTTTTTTTTTTTTTTTAAATATTGTGTATTTTTTCTTCTTCTTCTTTGCGTTCGGTTTCGAATGCTTAGGTCAGACCATCAGTTAGGTTGCCTATATGAACTCGCATGTCAGCTGCAGGTCCTTCATGGTTCCCTATACCAGATTACTAGATTGATCTGCACACTTTGCTGTTGAGGTCAGGTGTCTTTTCGAAGTTGTAGTTAGAGTGGGGCGGTCTGCAGAATGTGCTCAGGTGTTTGTGGTCCTGTCTGACAGACACACTGTGGGAAATGTACAGCCATTGTTTTTATCAATGTGGTAGTTGATATTTTGTCTATTTGAGAACTGCATCTATTTTATGATTCCAGATCAGAAGTATCTGTGAGCAAATTGGAACGTCTCCTGACAAGACACCCAAGCTTGCGGAGGTTTCTATTGAAGAACTATTTGACCCCAGACGGTGAGTTCCCTAAACAGAGATGCTTTCACTTACGAGTATAATTACCATTGCTCCTATCTGCTAACAAGGAATGGAGACTGGTATAGATGTCTTTCTTCCTACTGAGATGTTGTTGTGGATAACTTAAGCATTGCTTTCCACGCTATGAAATGTATTGGATGTGTGGTCTTAGCCAGGAGCGACACCACAACGATTAACGGAAAAACGGGATCCGTGGTTTTATAGGGCCAGTTTGCAGCGTTTTATGAGTAAAAATGTTCTCCGCCTAAAAAATAGAAAAAAAAAGAAAAAAAAAAAAAAAAAGCCTCACACACACACAAATACACAGGCAATTAGACGAAATTTATAAATAAAAAGCATTACCTGATAACGAGGCAGAGGGAGACACGGTGAAGGTAGATACAAGACATTGAAGATGTACTGGATATGAAAGCACATAGGGCTGGAATAATGGCTAAAGACAGACTTGCAGGCGTGCCGTGACGAGCGACATGTTCTACGAAGGACCTGCTGATTGGTGGATGAATACCACTTCCACATCAAACAGTAACAATTTATTAACTACTCCTATTTCTTATGAACCTATTCCGGAACTTCGCTACGCAGATGACAGTCCTCCTTTCAAACAGCGTATAGGGAATAGAAAATTCAATATTGTCTGTCCAAAAGCACGGTTTAGATCAAAATCTGTTCTTGAATTTAAAGAAAATTGAAATAACATCCACATATAAAACTGGCTGTCACCCAAAAAATAGCAATAAATGATGAAGAAATTGATATTGTCACAAACTTTGAATATCTAGGCTCTATAATAAATAGCAATGGAGACTGTTTGACAGAAATTAAAAGGGGCATGGCGATAGCAACGCAAAGATTAAACAGCATTAAAAGTCTATGGTTAAGCACCAGCAGATTTTGTTGCGTATCCTTTACAGGACGTTGCAGAACCACTCCTAACAGCCACTAGCTGTTGTGTGGTTTTTCTAGGCGAATTTACGTCCAGTAGTTTGCCATTGCGATGGACGGTCGGCTTTCTTGATACCGTAGCAACATACGGATGTATGTGGACCATCTCCCAGTCCTTAAAAAAGAGAAAAGTTGCTTTTGAGCTTAAATGCTATAGGAAGATTCTCAGAATATCTTGGACAAAGAAGAGAAATACTGACATCTTGAAAGATCTGAACATCAAGGAAGATTGGCTAATAAATAGCATCCTGTCTCGGAAGCTGAAATATTTTGGTTATACCAAAAGCCACAACGGATTGGAAAAAATAATAGCAGAAGGCATGGTACCAGGAAGGAGGGGCAGGGACCGACCACCATAAAGATGGGTACAGGATATAAGTGACCCCTTGAGTATAAAAGTACATGAGGCGGGAGAGCTGGCGAGAGACTGAGTTTCTTTTAGGCAGACCGTAATTAGAGCGACGTTCTGCAAAGGACCTACTACATGATGATAATGATTTCCTTTGAGTTTACTATCTACAAACTCCGATAAAAAGTCCTAGCTGGTCGTGTTTTCCAATTAAAGTGTCGCATACATATCCGTTTTCCATACATGGTATACTGTATGCAGAATGTTTCTCTCTCTCTCTCTCTCTCTCTCTCTCTCTCTCTCTCTCTCTCTCTCTCTCTCTCTCTCTCTCTCTGCCTCCCTCTTCCCCATCATTTTTCCCACTTCCCACACAGTTTAGCTCTGACTTCGAAAAAAACGGTGACACTATCTAAGTATCAAAGTTGGTTAGGCCTCCTGTTAGGGATCCGGTTTCTAGAATAATCTAGTAGAAGTTTAAATAGGTCTTGACCTGTATGAACTCTGGCCCCTGAAGACCACCACCGCATTTTATGATGCACTTCTGCATCCCGATGTTGAATATCACCCTCCCTGTGTGGCTTCTAGGGCCCCATTACAGGGGACCGAAAATTAGACCCACTGTCCCCTAAGCAATCAGTCAGTCAATGAATCAGTCAGGTGCTGTCTTTACATTGAAGATTGGATTCGCAATGGTTGCACACTTCCATAGACTGCTGTTAATCCTTCTCTTGATTTTGTCCTTTTACTTGTAGCTTATTCTTCTTCGTTCACAATGGCTACCTTTTGATCTTTTGCCCTCGTCTTTTCCCTCCAGAATGTGATTTTGAAAGCATGTTACGTTTTTTTTTTATGTGGCCAAAATCTTTTCAATGTCTCTTTTTTTCCTTTTTTTTTTCTTTCGGTAATTCTCTTTTCATTCGTAGCCTTTCCAGAACCCCTGTATTTGACTGTTTGTTGTTTCTATGAAATACCACTTATTCTTCTGTATACCCACATTTCTAGAGACTCAGTTCGATTTTCTAGTTGCCGGTTCAAAATCCAAGTTTCTGCGCCATACAGTAGGATTGAGACATAAGTTATGCGTTAGATTATCTTCACAGCACTTCAGACAAATCCATAGGCGCTCAGATTCCCCTCTCAGCATATTCTTCAGTGTAGTGCGGTTAATAGTGCCAGTTCTATGTTGGTTAACAAGACTTCGTGTCCGTCTGGTGGGCTTGTCATGCGTGGCTGTGCCGATCTTTACTCCCAATTCGCATTCTATTGAATATAGTCTTAGACGTTTATTTTTTCTTGTTGATTCCTGTTTCGCTTCTGCTATCATGTTATTGCGTGTTTAAGATAGGAGGTACGTGTTACTTGTTCTAATAGCTTTCCATATACTGTGATGCTCACTGCTGGTCGTTCTTTTCCATTGTTAATTACAATTTTTTTTTTTTTTTGGGGGGGGGGGAGGGGGGGGGGAAGGTTAATGTTAATGTAACCAGCATGTTGTAAAAGCCGACTAATAATGGTTGTTTCGTTCGAAGTCGGAGTGCATCTGCCTTGGAGATGAATAACAACCGTTTGCATAAACAAAAGCCTGATCTGTAAAGATGTGTACGCAAAACTCAAGTTATGAAACAAGACTAAAGTCCAGAAGTGGACGAACAACAAGAACGTTCTTCTGTGGTGTGATTCGCGTATCACTGTACAAAACCACGAAAATGATAGGGGGGGGGGAGAGGGGCCTCTTGCCGCCGAAATCAAACCCAGGTATGTCGACGATTGTGAAGCTCGGTCACTAATCTCTAAGCTTCAGAGCCGCATTGTTTCAATGTTACACCGGTTAAACACAAACAAATGTTGTCGTGACAGAGTTTGCAAGTGCGAATCTACATCTAGGGTTAGTTGCGTATACTTTACAGGACGTTGCAGAACCAACCACAACAGCCCTAGGCAAATTTACGTCCAGTAGTTTGTTGTTGCTATCTGGACGGTCGGCTTTCTTGATGCCACTGTCGAAACCAACGCAAGGCACATGGCCCGTGGCTGGGATCGAACCCGGCATCCCTTCATTACGAAGCGTTCGCATCGACTTAGCCACAGAGCCAACTACAGTGACCCACATTGTTGAAATGGTACCCCCTTCCTATGTTTAAGCCAGATGATCAGTTGTAGTTCCAACGTCACGGTAATCGTGTCACCTCGTAGATATTCGGCTGCTTATATTCGTCTTCATCGTCGTCGTCATCATCACTATGAAGCTACCACTTTGCCGAACGTCGCTTATAACGCAAACAACGCCACGGAATCTCGATTTCTGACCAATCTAACGGCCTGCTGGCTTCTGTCTCAGACAAACAACTTCTTGAATGTTTTGTGTCACTCCGCCTATCAAAACGCATTTTCCTTTTTAAGTCATTGCTGTCAAGGGCAGTGTAGATTTGTAGCTAATTGACTTTATGCATGCCTGTCTCTTGGGACTCCCAGATGCCAACGAATCGGTTCCAGAAAATTATGTTCATTCATCAGAGAAGAGATAATTATATAAATAATTCAGCTCCACTTTGGAATACACGAAGCAAGGATACAGTCTTTGGGGAATCCCAGGGCCAGCGGTTGTATATTACAATGCTTTTCTTTCAGATATAAACATTTCAAATTACGTTTAGAATTCAGCACCATCTAATTCGTGTTGAATAGCCATTCGTCCATTTATTCTTGTTCATCGTCATCATTACTTTCTTCTCAGTGTTGTTGTTGTTGTTCCTCTTTTGTTGTTGTATTTTGAGTCCTTGAGATTCATTACTCTAGATGTCACCCACCGCCATTCCTCTCTGTGATTGCCCCCCCCCTCTCTGTCTCTCTGTGTCTATGTCTCTCTCTATCTCTCTCTGTCTCTATCTCTCTCCGTCTCTCTCTGTCTCTCTGTTTCTATCTCTCTCGTCTATGTCTCTCTATCTCTCTGTCTGTCTCTCTCTGTCTTTATCTGCCTATGTCTCTCTCTCTCTGTCTCTATCTCTCTCTCTGTCTCACTGTCTCTATCTCTCTCTGTCTATGTCTCTCTATCTCTTTTTGTCTATGTCTCTCTCTATCTCTATCTGTCTCTCTCTATCTCTCGCTGTCTATGTCTCTCTCTCCGTCTCTCTCTGCCTATGTCTCTCTCTATCTCTCTCCGTCTCTCTCTCTCTGTCTCTCTGTCTCTATCTCTCTCTGTTTATGTCTCTCTATCTCTGTCTCTGTCTATGTCTCTCTCTATCTCTCTCTGTCTCTGTCTCTCTCTATCTCTCTCTGTCTATGTCGCTCTCTATCTCTGTCTCTATCTCTCTCCGTCTCCCTCTGTCTCTCTCTGTCTCGCGGGCCTGTGGGCCCAATTTGTAACCCTTTGAAAATAAAGTTTGTTTTGTTTGTCTTTTTCTGTCTCTCTTTTTGTGTCTCTCTCTGTCTCTCTCTCTCTCTCTCTCTCTCTCTCTCTCTTTCTCTCTCTCTCAAGTTGACGACTCCAAGTATTTACTGGTCAGCGTGGATATTATCTCTCCACACTCTTCTTTGACTGCCTTCTACTCTACTCTCTTGTCTACACATTTTTGTCAGTCTGTTATCTGTTCTTTCTCTATATGCCCCTGCCATGTGAGTCTATCTATCACCTCTAAAGATGTTTCATACAAACTCGGAAAACAGTTCTGTGTGTTACATTTTCACTTCCCTATCCTTCATCCCCAGATGACACCAAAATTTTTCAATACTTTTGGAATTACTCTAGTGTAATAAAATAAACAATCTGGAATCATGATAAGTCCTGTCCGCACGCTGTCCCTGTCAAAACAGCAGTTGTTGAGAGACCCTGTCCCTGTCAAAACAGCAGTTGTTGAGAGACGCTCTCCCTGTCAAAACAGCAGTTGTTGAGAGACGCCGTGCCTGTCAAAATCAGCAGTTGTTGAGAGACGCTGTCCCTGTCAAACCAGAGTTGTTGAGAGACGATGTCCCTGTCAAACCAGCAGTTGTTGAGAGATACTCTCCCTGTCAAACCATCAGTTGTTGAGGACGCTCTCCCTGTCAAAACAGCAGTTGTTGAGAGACGCTCTCCCTGTCAAAACAGCAGTTGTTGAAGACGCTGTGCCTGTCAAACCAGCAGTTGTTGAGAGACGCTGTCCCTGTCAAACCAGCAGTTGTTGAGAGACGCTGTCCCTGTCAAACCAGCAGTTGTTGAGAGACGCTGTCCCTGTCAAACCAGCAGTTGTTGAGAGACGCTGTCCCTGTCAAACCAGCAGTTGTTGAGAGACGCTGTCCCTGTCGAAACAGCAGTTGTTGAGAGACGCTGTCCCTGTCGAAACAGCAGTTGTTGAGAGACGCTGTGCCAGTCAAAATCAGCAGTTGTTGACAGACGCTGTCCGTGAAAACCAGCAGTTGTTGAGAGATACTCTCCCTGTCAAACCAGCAGTTGTTGAGAGACGCTGTCCCTGTCAAAACAGCAGTTGTTGAGAGACGCTCTCCCTGTCAAAACAGCAGTTGTTGAGAGACGTTGTGCCTGTCAAAATCAGCAGTCTTTGAGAGACGCTGTCCCTGTCAAACCAGCAGTTGTTGAGAGACGCTGTCCCTGTCAAACCAGCAGTTGTTGAGAGACGCTGTCCCTGTCAAAACAGCAGTTGTTGAGAGCCATACCTGATGTCCACTTTTATCCTTTAACGCCATGGGGGAGAAACAGTTTGCGATGCCGTGCTTGGGTAGCAACAGCTATTGTCAGGCCATGTCGATGCAGAAGGTCTTCAGTTTCATCAATCCATCTTTTCCTAGGGCAAACTGTTGCTGCCACATACGATTTTTTCATATGTAGCGTGTGCGTTGGTAGTTGTGGCTGCATTCTAACAAGAAGATCGAATCACCAGAAGAGACTGAGTGAGAAACGACGTGATCACACGAACTGTTGGAACAACACCCATCGTCAAATTTATTGAGAAACAAAGAATTTAAATAGTTTAGTCATCTAATGAGAATGAAACCAACTATGCCAGCATCAAGAACGTACAGCCTGAAAATGGAAACAATGAAGAGGCAGGGAAAGACAGAGAAGAACATGGATTAAAGGAGTCACTAACATCTTGAGACTGCATAACATCATGCATATCAATCGACTGAGCGCGCCCTGGCTCGGCTGCCGATCATCTCATGAACTGCGACGCCTAGCTGCATAAGCAGATATTGAAAAAATAGGAACAAGATCAAGTCATTAGATCTTCTATTTATCAGTGAATTTGGTGCGTGGTGCTGTTCCCACAGTCTGTCTGATATCATCGTTTCTCACTTCATTTCTGATAGTCAAGTTGGTGGCTTTCCTCAGACATCTGGTTTTATGTGTGTTGTAAACATTAGGCGGAATCAAATCGCTTTCTATGGTATATTTCTAAAAAAAACAAAAACTATCAACAGAATATCTATGTTGTTCTAGTATACGTGTACACTTCTTCTGCTTTCGTCATTAAAAAAGGATGGTCGCACGATGTGTTTTGGTTTATAGCTAGGCTGTGATTTTTTGTACATCCTTAATTATTTTGCTTTGTACGATATGAACCTATTATAAAGAAATGGAAAATGTCAACCACTTTGAATATCTAGGCTCTATAATAAATAGCGCGGCGTCCGTTGCGAGTCCGACTCGAAATTCCATCGCACAGCGATCCAAACCCAATGCTGGCGGAGTGGATTTTTGTCATGCTATGGGGCGTCGCAGGTTGACCCAGCCTAAAACGGATGCATGTCCTGGGGAAATAAAGACGGTCGGCGTTATGCTGAGCACATTACCAACCTAGTGTCGACTGGTCTGTAAAGATATTGGTGCTCTTCCAATATGCCTAAAGACATGAAAAGTGATTACTTATAATAAATAACAATGGAGACTGCGTGACATAAATTAAAAGGAGGATGGCCATAGCAATACAAAGATTAAACAGCATTAAAGTCTATGGTTAAGCACCAAGAAGGAAATCAAAATTAAAATTGTGAGAGCAAAAACATACGGATGTGAGTCGTGGACTATCTCCCAGTCGTTGAGAAAGAAAATAGGGGCGTTTGAGCTGAAATGTTATAGAAAGATTCTCAAAATACCATGGACGGAAAAGAGGAGAAATACTGACATTTAAACAAATACAAACATCAAGAAAGATTGGCTAAAAAAAAGATTGATTAATAAAATATTGGCTAATAAACAGCATCTTGTCTCGGAAGCTGAAATATTTTGGTCATATCAAGCGCCATGACGGACTGGGAAAAGTGATAGCAGAAGGCATGGTACAAGGAAGGAGGAGCAGGGGTCTACCATCACGAAGGTGGGTACAGGATATAAATGACTCCTTGAATATAAAAGTACATGAGGCGGGAGAGCTGGCGAGAGACCGAGTTTCTTTCAGACAGACTGTGATAAGAGCGACGTTCTGCAAAATATACATACATGTGTATGCTTGTATGCCCACTTTCGTACCTGCATGCTGTTTACACCAACCTTAACACGAATTTAAATATTACCTCACACAGTTACACCAGATTTCCACATACCATAACATTTTTTCACAGCAGGACATTGTGTGAAAATGTTGAATGTTTGTGTTAATTTATAATTCATGTCATCAGATCTCCTTCTTTATTTTCTGCAGGCGATGAAGAGGTTGCCTCCTCAGAAGAACTCTCCAGTCGAGTGGTGATGAAATAGTAAACGCTGCACTGCCTTGAGGCCACCGACAACTTCAGAAAAAAAGTTGCCTCTGAGTTTTCCTTAAACAATTTATCTTTGTATTGTAGCTCATTTTAGGTGTTTACTTTCGTTTATCTCACATTGTTTGTATGTTCAACCTTGCTGCATGGTGCAAAAACCTAGATAATGAACAAACAAAAAATTAGAATGAAGTCATCGGAATCAGAAGGAGGCAATCTACGTTCTTTAGTCATGTCATCAGAAGGAGAAAACTGGAGTACATCATGACGATGGAAAAGTTAAAGAGGAACAGAGGCAGAAGGAGATCAACACGGAAGATGCGGGACAGTTTGACAGCAAGGCATGGAAGATCATCTGAATCAGAACTGATTAAAAGTACAGGAGACATATGGTTGTGTATATACATTACTACCGACGTCACACAGCGTGGACTGCAAAAAAAAGTCACTGGACATGTTGGTTTGCAGAAAAATGTGTCGTATTTCGTGGAAACAAATACGGTCAAATACAAAGGCTCTGAAGAGGCTGGACGTGATAAAAGGAACTGTTGAAAAATTATGGTTAAATTGTCCGAAAACATAAATTATAGTCATCACCAAAAAGAAGGAAATATCGCAATGTAAAGTCCATACAAAAATTCCTAAGCAAGTGAATCGATACACCTATCCCAGAATTGTCAGAAAATCTCTTGCAAAATGCCTTTCAGTGATCAGAAAAAGAATCGCCAATTCAAAAGTCGCCTTCAGCAAGATGTAATAATTATAAAAATAAAAAGAACTCCACAGGAGAGCATGCCCAACAGGGGTCCACGGATCATCAGTAACAACATCCCTCGTCGACCATTGTTTCGGCCATTTACTTCTTAGACAATCTCGGAAGGTGGGCCGACCTGGTTCATGACTACAGGCCACGATCTTCCTCTGCTGCAGTTTATGGGACTCTCGGACAGGGATGTAAAAGATACAAACCAATTAAAAGATATTTACAGTGAGGAAAGGAGTGTTTATATGCTTTATCTAATATGTGTTGTTTTATACATGTCAGACATGAACAATAAGGTAAACATATTAACTCCCAGCACAGATGGTGGGGGGGGGGGGGTGTGAAAAGAATGCACACATTATTAAGGGATGGTAGAAATAAACATATAAAGCAGTTTCTTTGGATAAAGTAGAAAACAGTAAACTGGTTAAAGAAAATTAGCCTCGAATTAACTAGGCCTCGTGACCGCTGTACCTGTGAGCTCGCTTGGACACACGCATACACACGCACGCGTAAACATATAGACAGATACACACGCACATACACATATTTATCATAGGTGCCATATGCAAAAGAATGAAACGGACAGTATTTGTTGTGGCTATAAAAGAAAATTGAAAAACTGGTACAATAAATGAATCAAAATTCAGCACTGCAAAAACTGAAAAATAACACACAAATACACTTGCACTTGACAGCAATGGTTCGACTCCTCATGCATTGAGAACCGCTATTGTGTCGCACTGACTGGCTCACTTGTCTCTCGTCCTGGGGATCTAGCCTATTACACATCAAGAGCCAAGTGGTCTATAATAAGAGCTAGCACCATATACCCGAAGTGTGTGTTGTTGTGAATATCGGCCCTTTCAATTATTATTTTTTTGGGGGTCTCAGAGAGCATGCGGTTGAGCAGCGGTGATGGGAAAGAAATTGAAAATCAAAAAGAAAAAGACGGATTATCTACCTTTCTCCTTATCCTGTTTTTCTTTCTTTCTGTCTTTCTGTCTTTTTCTTTCTTTTTTCTTTCTTTCATCTATCTTTCTTTCTTTCTTTTGTCTTTCTTTCTGTCTTTCTTTTTCTTTCCAAATTTCTTTCTTTTTTTCGTTTTCTCTCTTTCTCACCCTCCCTGCTAGTATTAATATAATTACATTCATACCAAACTGACCGTGTTAAAATACCACAGTTAAAGATTCATCCACACAGATATTCAAAATTTTATACTCACTTAGCAATAGGTATTTCGTCCTTTTCAGGACGAATTTTTTTGTTATTTGAAGCCCCACCCTGGCTTTTGCCAGGGGCCGCAATAAAGGCAGGCCATAATTATGGCCAATTGTCTGAACGCGGTTTCTGGGACCTCTCCACGGCGATCCACATCCACATGGTGGCACTTTTTGTCATTGGGTGTTTATCGCTTGTGTGATAAGTGGGGTAGAAAGTCAGTCAGTCATCCACACAGATAAATAAAGGATCACAGGTTTTATATCCCACAGCTAACTGAAATGTGTTGAAACTTAGCGTCAAATTAGGAGTGATTGAAGAAAGGGCCATATTCAACGATGTTAACTATTCAACGGTAGCATATTTTTTTCACTGACATTCCACGATTCCCTGCCATACAGCAGAACAGGTTCTATGTAACATGTTAGCACCTCTTTCTGACATTAAATGAGAGCATTTATAGCATTAGCAATTTTTTTTTCTGAAATGAGCTTTCGCTTGACCTATTCTGCTTTTAATCTCTGTCACACATTTTCCGTCTGATGCTTTTATTGTTCCCAGACAAATAAGTTTGTTGACTTGGTAAAGTCTTTTTTCTTCATTTAGGAAATCACAACCCAACTTCTTGTTTGATATACCATTACTTCTGTTTTCTTAAAATTCAATGAAAATTCTTTCTTAGCATTCTCCATTCCCTCAATATCCAGGAGTTGTTGACTGACTGACTTTCTACCCCACCAGGACATCACACAAGCGATAAACACCCGATGACACAAAGTGCCACCATGCGGATGAGGATCGCCGTGGAGAGGTCCCAGAAACCGCGTTCAGACATTTGGCCATATTGATGGCCTGCCTATATTGCGGCCCCTGGCAAAAGCCAGGGTGGGGCTTCAAATAATAAAAAAAAAAAATAAATAAAAAAAAAAAAAAAAAAAAAAAAAAAAAAAAAAAAAAAAATATAGGAGTTGTTGTAAATCAGTTGCATTTTCAGCTACCAAAACTGTATATCATCTGCATAACGCAAATTGTTCAGATTGTATCCTCCAACTCTTACTCCTGCATCATCTTTAATTTCCCTAAAAATTGTTTCACTACAGAGAGAGAAAAGGTCTAGGGATAAGACACATCCTTGTCCGGAAAAAGTGGATTACTCCGTAGCTGGGCAGAGAAGGGCACCCACTTGTCCTGACAGTCGGAAATTACTGACAAAGGTGTAAGATAAAATACCCCACGTGGATATGGAACAGAAAACCTCTACATTATATAATCCACAAAAAAAAAGAAAAAAAAAAAAAAAAAAAAAAAAAAAAAAACTAATGAGAACACACTCACACAAACACAAAATAGCTTCACATCCCTTTAAATGCCAAAGTGCCAGATAAATATATGCCAGTGTCTCTATGCCTATTGATAAAGTCTAACGTCTGTCCAATGTACCAGCTATAAGCTTGTCACTCTGGGCGTTGAATTAGGCGGCTACATTGCTACCGCGGCAATAATATATAACGCCAGATCTCACAATACCCGTTGCAAAGTCACTATTTTGTCTTGTCCCTGTCCGAACGTCCGATAAAGTGCAGCAAGGGATGTCTGAGGCCTGTCATCATGAACCAGCTCAGCCCACCTTCCGAGAAAGTAAAGGGAAGTAATGGGCCGAAACAATCACTGACGAAGGACCTTTTTACCGATGATCGGTGGACCCTTGCTGTGCAAGCTTCCCCTGTGGAGTTTTTCCTTTTGTGTTGGACGTGTCACTTATGGGAGTGTACCGCGTGCTGTGCTGTCGATTCATAATTAAAAATCCAACATTTGTCTAATCTCTCTGATATACAAGTGGTGTTGTAAGGATGAAAGGATCGACATCGTTACCTTGTTTTATCCCTTATTGCACCATATCTCTAAAAAATAATTTGCCCACCCTTGAGAGTATCGCACAAGACACGAACTCTATATCTCCAGCAGCGATCACCAGTCCTCTCTGAGAAGCCCGCACTCGCAAGCCAAATAATGGAGTGCACAATTAAATGCATGGTCTTTAGAGCACCCAGTAAACAGATTAACCAATTCAACACCATTTACCTCCCTATTTTTCCTTCTTCTCCCTCCCCCCCCCCCTTCCCCCTTCCACTTTTTTTCACGTGGACTTGGACTTCTAGTAATTTTCCGTGGTCTCTGGGTAGTGAGATCGGACGCCCGTGTGCATTGCTGCGCACGTAAAAAAAAAAAAAAATAAAGATCACTTGGCAGTTGGAAATCGTAAAAAGTAGCCTAACGGCGCTGCCCCGTCAAAATTTGAAGTTAGAAATCTACCCATAGTATCAGGATCCTCGCCGGTGCTACAGAGCCTGTGCGCTGTGCTGAGCATCGTCGGACCCATACTTGAGTTAGAAAAAGAACGGAGCTCTTAGGGGTTCTACCATGATGTTGATCCATTGTTCAAACTTCAAACTTTAGCTAATGCATCTCGAACATACTGTATCCCACATTCGCGAAGGTCGGTTCCTGCCTCGTTTTCCCGAAAGGCACCCTCCATCGCCGTTATATACCGAACCAGTTTAATAATCTTGATAAATAACTTGCAGAGGCTGTAAGTATCCTTGCGTCTTTCCACATGCTATTGCTGTGATGATGTATGAGAATCTTAGCCTATGGCATGGACAATGGTGACTCGCAAGACCCGGCAGAAAGGTCTACAACAATTAGAACATCAGATGTCAGGCCTTTATTTGCTACTTGGTGTTTTTATCGTGCTTGTTCTTGTGCCCTTTGCTGTTAACCTGTCTAGTGTCATCTTTTTCTGTTTCCTTTTATTCCATCTATCCTACACAAATGTGCGACAGTGATGTCTTCTGTCGCCTACAAGCCAAGAGGAGCTTTCATAGTACTAGGGAATTTGTTTAGGTGAAAAAAAAGAAAAAAGAAATACTAAACATAAAATTGTAATTCTAATGTCAAATCACTACTTTTGTATGGAGCGGAAACGGAGAACAACTAAGGCAACTACTAAAAAA